TTCAAGGAGTATTTGCTTGCACTTACAACATAAAAATAAGGTAACAGCCATCTCAGAAGAGAAATTAACTGGGATAGCTATAGCAAATTTAGATGTATTAATGTCAGACACATATATTCTGCCTCTGTTTGAGAAGAACTGTAGGCCTTGTTGCTTCTCGCAGTTTTCTTTTTCAAGTGAAAACTGAAAGGAAGAACAAAAAAAGTGCCACAGCTAAGGGGGAATGTTTACGGCTCTGGCATGCCAAGATAACTCTGGAGAGCAAGAATGAAAGGTAATTCTATTTTCTCCATATTACAACCTCAAGATTGGAAACTAAACTCTCAAGAGATACTAAATCATTAGTGAACAGATCATTAACAAGGAAGAAATCTACACCCAGGAGTTTTAAGCAGCTGTTACTACTCCAATTGCAGCTCCTAAAGAAGGCATTGTAACAAAAAATTCAGCTACAGTAGAATCTTGTTAATTCACACTAACGATGCAAAGACTCTGTTAATTTGAAAAATTCAGTATTCTGCAAAGTAAACAGTACAAAAGCAAGGACAACTGGTGTTTACTTTTAATTATTTACACTCATACTTCACAGTATGCTAGCAAATATGTTAAATAATATTTTGCAAGTGTAATCAAGTTCTGATCAAATTACTCCCGTTAAGGTAATCTGCATGTCAGATCTTACTGCAGAAAGAGTAGTTTCTACCAGCTAGCGCTGCAGATTCTTTGAACCAGTGACCTTGCCTTTGTACACGGGCATCACGTTCATCTACCATCATTCATAATGGTAGCTGTATTCTAACAAATGTTTCCAGGTCCTAGTGTAATTTATGCATTAAATACTATTCTGTGTATGAAGTGCAAAATACTAAGTTTCATATCAAGTTTATTTATCCAGATGAGCAGAGGAGGAGCACAGAGCAATAGCTTCTGCTGACCGAGTACTGAGAAACACAAAGGTAAACCGATGGATATGGGTGATCCAGAGTCCATTAATAAATAAAAAATCACAAAAAAACCCACGTAAAAAAGTACATCTTACAGCCTGAATTAAGGGGTCTTATCAATGTGTTGGAACCTCAGCCTTTCAAGAACAGTCACTAAACATAAAATACACAGATTGCAATTTAACTTGGGAAAAGTTTCATCGCAACGACACTGATCAATGACAGAGAAAGCAACAGGAAGAAAAAAAAATCTTTTGAATTAATTTAGTCGGTTAGCAGTCTGTTAGAAGTTCTAGTGAACTCTTCCATATGTCTGATACAAGCCTTGCAATTATTACTGAAGACACTACAGAACTATATCCTAATTAAACGCTCTTTCTGAAGCATTGGCAAAGTAATGTCACTCTGAAGAGTTTACAGTACAGAAATTAGATAACGGTTGTCACCAATTGTTCAGGCTCTATCGCTGCTGTATTAACAAAGCAGCATTACACGCAGAACCATGCTCTGGTTTCCTATGTTTCTTTTAGAATTCACGTATTATTTTAGTTCTACATTTGCACCAAAATCTCAGTAAGCTCATGAAATCCTCCCAACTCTTTTTTTTTATTTTTTTCTTGCACGGGAAGGCATGAGCTGTTTCTTAATTCCAAATGTCACAGACCATACACAAATTATCATGAACTCTAAATTCAACTAGCTAGGTAGAGGTTAGCAAAATCATGAAAAAGTGTTCTTGATTTTTCAGAATCTTTTATGAATAATAAGGATGAGAAGATACAGCATTAATCTCTCTTTTTTTCGTACATTATTACTGTCATTTCTAAATAAAGCGTAGGAGTGAATTATTCCAATCAACTCCCCAATGGTACACAAAACATAAGGCAGCTCTGTAACTTAAATAGACCATAATGCTGTGGGAGTTAATGAAACATTAAACCTCTTGACACATGGTGTGAGGGAAAATGTGTTAGAGGAGATAGCTGCAAGACATCCAGGACCATATTGCAGTGAAAGATTTATATTCCCATGAAAGGAGGCAATCTAATACATTAAAGTCTATATTTAAGTCTGAAATACTATTGCTAAGCAGCAGTGGTGGAAAACATAACTTATTTTCATTAAAGGTTTCTCAAATTGTAAGCAATGAAAGTAAAAGGTTTATAACTCCACAATAAATAACTTATTGGCAAAGTCGCAAGAAAACCCAGTCGCCTCACTGAACCCTCTCTTGCTTACAACCACCATCGGGATCATTTCAAAAACTCTGAAGGTTAGAGGATGAGTGATTGAGAGAAGGCCATAACCTACACCTCATCACTGATTTATCCATCCATCAGTACCAGAACTTGGTAATTTCTTCTAACATTGCAGTAAACTTTATGTACGGTCTACCATAAATGAAGCACTCACTAATAAGATTAAAATTGTTACAGGCCACTGAGTCAGATCTCTGAAGATGAAAATTACTATAGCAAAAGACTTTGTTGGTGACTTTTAGAAGATGTCACCTCAACCACAGAAAATGTCACGAAGCTGATGGCTCTGAGGAACTTATGGCCCTTCTTGGTGATATGCGAGGCAAGACTACTGGACTATATACTCCAAATATCACTTCATCAGGCTAACTCCTTTAAGATGAAATTTCTGCTAATATGGAAATGGTGAGATACACCAACCACATCCATTCCCATCACCAGGCCGTGCTCAGTGTCACAGGTAAAAAGCATCATGTTCCAAGTGTGTGAAGACACGGATACTGACAAAAAACATTGCTGTTTGCAGCTATAAGCTAACCTCATCAAATCAGAAATTGAACTACCACCTTGTTTATGTGTTCACAACATCAATTTCAAGAGACTGAATGCAACAGCTACAATGCACTGATCACTATTTAATAGACAGGACACTTGTATTAAAAAAAAAAAAAGTCAACTACATCACTTTCCACAACCGCGACAACTCAGCAGCAATGCGCACGCTGCATCACGTTGAACAGCCAAGACATGTCTGCAGTACTGCAACAGGGTTGTGCCAAATCCAGTTCTCATGATGCCCATCAACTGCAATGCTCTCCCTACATCAATAACTTCCATGTGTTGAGTACAATTTCTCCAGCTGCAGCAAATTGGACAGCACAACTGTATGCACGCAGTATCCTTCAGTTCCCTGACTCCACAGTCTTAACTCCCTAAATACAGGAGTAACTATAATCAAAGTCAAATAATGTGCTGATCATATAGGAATTAGAAAGTGCCTTGTGTCTGCAGAAACATCAGATTTCCCTTGCCATGTACCAGTTCACTACATTTTCTACTCCACCCTCAAGTGGCACATAAGCTACCCCTCCCAAAACCAGACATCACAGAAAGGCTACAGTACAGCAAATCCAAGATTTTTTTTTACACTTAAAGAAATCAATTTAGAATTTGAACTCCTATCACTGTGGCCCCTTACTGCAGTATATGCTGTGTGCAAGATTACAACAGAACCCAGAAGCGTAGCTCAAGGACTGACAAGAGCCACTTTTCTCAATTTTGCTGCTTTTCTCAGTAATAATATGAACCACAAAGATCTAAAAACCTGTATTAAAAATATATTTACCTAACAAATGCTCCAACAAAAAGAGCTTTATAAGTATAGGAGTACTGGTTGCAAGAGAAGAGCTTTAAGCACAAAATCAACTAAAGTTTCCAAAATTATATGGAGTCCATCACACTTCTAATTTCCTTGGCTGTAAAATATATTTCATTCCCAGACTTCACAGATACCAGAGTCAGCAGTTGCATGACTAACCTAATTATCAGTGCCCTCACACACTCTCTCTAGCCCGTGACAGTGGCTCAAGAATCCAAAGTCTAATTAGAAACTGTCATTTATCTTCCCTGGCCTCGCCAAGGCACCCAGCAGAGCTTTGGATGTTGGTTGCTTTAAAATTTATCGTCACATTAAAATAAAGTAAAAAGGTATGATGAAAGAGAGAAAGTTCTGCATCTCTCAATTCAGTTTCTTCAACTTTAAAGATCAGTGAGGCTAGAAGAGCTTGGTTTCTGTTCTCTCTGGTGGGGAGGATCCAGCTGTGCATTTGTTGAGAGTTGGTGCAGCACTGTAAAGTCATCAAAGAGTCCAAGGCAGCCAATGAGAGCAGAGCTCTGGATAATCTGTGTCCAAAAACTTATGATTAATATGCCAAAGTGGGTTCTTAGAGGAGATATCTTACACAGAGGTTGAGCTGAGAGGACAATGGGTTGTGATTAGGTATTGTTCACAATCACTAAGTGCACCAGCAATAGAGAATAGGTTGTGATTAGAAGGTGGGTACTGGGTCATTACCATGCATGGCTTCGCTTGCCACTGTTCTCTCTCCTGGTTATACACCTGTATTGGAAGTGGGGTGTACAGAGGAAAGTTAGTGTTTGATTTTCATTAATTCTGTATGATTTTCCATCACTCTTAGGTCCCTTTGTGACAGAAGGTACGTGCATGCACTGCAGTTTGTTTTACAGAGGTAGAATTTCTACTCAACCTTTCACAGACTTTATGTTCTCTGCATGTATATTCATATATACTTTGATATATTCTGCACTGGTACCCTGGCAAACAGTGATTCAGCTCCTTTACTTTGAGCTTGTCATATAGCCCATGACTCAACGTGTGCTTGCATCTACCTTGTTTAATAATAGTGCCCATAACATATTAAGCATCTCATCGCCAGTGTGTTCAGAATGTGACACGACATAGCACTCGTGTTTCCTTTGTCACTGGTTCACTTTATTTTAAACTTCCTTGAGAAAATCTCATTAGTGACTGATATATTATTAAAGAAACAAAATAGCTTTCTCCATCATTAGTACATGCCAGTCTAATTCTTTTTACTCTGCCTGATGCTTTTGGAGACCTTAATAAGAAGGCTGCAAACAACTCAAAAAAGAAACGTACCTTCAAAAGCAGCTTACTTGTTCAATAATCTGTACACAATAATAAAAATGCACTGGAGTCAGATTCAAAAACTTCTTAACAGTACTTGATTTTTTTCTTGCTAGTACAGAAGTGGGAAAGGTGAAGGGGGAAAGAACTAACTACATTTTAAGACTTTGAATTTTGACCTCTGATTTTGGGTACTAACAAGTCTTTTCAATTTATGGCATTATATAAAATAACGGGCATATATTGTCCACCTTTTATATTTTTATATATATATATTTTATATATATATCTCTGTACTATTTCCTTTCTTCTTTGCTTCAAAGTAATTTTCTTCTTGCCCTAGACATGTCTTCATTCCTACCTATATTTTTTATCCTCACCCTCCATTTATCTCCTGTGGTCACTAGCTCTGTGCAATCTTTCCCCTTATCTATCAGAAGTACACAAACTCTCCTCGGCACCTCTCTTCAGAAACGCAGATACCCTCCCACTCAGGGAAATACGTCTACCCTAATGACCACAAAACTCTACCTCTTTACGGCAGGCACAATATTTTACCCACTTTCTGAGAGTAAAGCATTTAGTGAAGCTACATAAACTCATCAGAGTACAATACTATGCACTCTTACAATGCCACCACAGTCATACAAATCATATGACACAATTATTAATAAAGCCATTGTTATCCTTTTAATAACACAGAACACTTTGATATGGTACTGATATGAAGGAAAACAGCCCCTTGCTACATGGGCGAATATGAGTCCACACCTTTGAAGCCAAAGTCGAAATTCTCTTCAATTTGAAGTCAAGGTATTTATCTGCAAATGACCAGAGTTATGAAAAACTCACCTCTAACTCTCTGACTATCTTGATGATTGACTGTTGAGACTGTGCAGCACATTTTTCCTTTACTAAGCCCTCATTTTTCAGTTCAAGTTCTTCATTGGTTCTTAGAAGGTTCTTGTACTTATTTAGGAGCTCCTGCAATTCTGCATCCTTTTCTTTAACTGTTCCATCAAGTTTCTAACAAAAGAAAACAATGAGACAGTTTTACAAAATTTACTCCAGTTTTATATTGCAAAATAGACAAACAAAATTCAGGAGAATATCCAGGGATGATCCGGTGCGTGTGCTTTACATACCTCGCAAAAGAAGAGCTCAATTTAACATAATAGAAGCACAGAAAGATCGAACAGAAGCTTTCCCTGGATATATAATCTTTTAAGTATTAAAAAATAAGCCAAGGCATGCACCTTGTCTCCAGGTATCGAGCAACTTCAGCTATTCCTCTTTGTGTCGCTGGTTGAATACCGTCAGTACTTTGCAGGGTTATACCCTCAGTTATAAAAAAAAATTAGCAGGGGTCTGTTAACAATCCAGCAGCTCCCTTCTCACATACGTCATTTTGAAAGGGCTTCAAAAAGAACCACAAAATATTTCAGTATCTCTACCTATTTCTCAACTTCTTGTTTCTGCACAAGAAACCGAAAATCACAGGCACTTCAGAGATTTTAAATTATGTTACCACAACAGTGAAAATTCTACGTATTAGTAAAGCTTTCTTCCTCCTCTATCCACACGCTTCATAAAACCCTAACAAGAAATCTCATGAATGCCACGCGCTCTGTAATTATATGTCTGCTCTGCAAATACAGTATTATAAAAAGTGAAGGATTATCAAAGTCAACAGTAATTCCAAATACAAATGTGATTTTGTAATAAGTCGTCATACAAAATCAAATGATAACTTTCCATTTTTCATTTCAACTTAAGTCTACCTACCTGAAGCAGCAGATCCTTTTGATTGACGTTGTCTGTTAGCTGCTTGATAACTAGTTCTTGGCTCTGCAACTTCTGATTGCTTTCACTCAAAAGAATATTGTAAAGATGTTCAGCTGCTTTTTCTTTCTCAGTCATTTCACCATGTAATTTCTCTAGTTGATTTCTAAGGTCCTACAAGAAAAAAAATGAAACTGAGTATTTAGCAAATAAACTTTAAAAAAAGTTTAACAACCCACATTACTAGCTTAACTTCCCATTGCTTTAAATTACTCCTATCACTGAATAGTCTCAAGAATGTATTTAAGCCACTATCCTTCTCTTGGCACCAATAAGCACTATTAAAGAAAGAAAATTTTTAGTCAAGGTGTCAGGATTGTCTTTTAGAAGTCTAGGTTGTTATTGTTTAAATGCTTTTCATGCAGAATGACTGGACTTCAAGGCTGTTGGGAATATCAGGCACGTAGATGTTGTCGCTGTCAGAATGAACACTCACTTCTGAGTCAATTTACTCCCTTGCTAGAAATAGGAGAAAATTGGTTACGGGTGATTCAGTTTGTCATTTGCTCTTTTTCTCATCACACCGTGAAAATTCTTGCACTAACATTGTATTGCTAGTTACTTTTGCATCAAACCAAAGGTCAGAAATGTTAAAACATTTTCTTTTGACAAGAGCACAAACTTCAAACGACCAATCAGGTCAGTCTTGTGATTAGAAGTTGTGAACAGAACTTGATCTTAATTCTGGCTGTGTTAATTACTTCCTGCAGCTCTAAGATTAGCTGCATCATCTCCACGTCTTAGTTGCCCATCAGAGAAACATTTACTTCTTGTCCATTTTGCCTCTACAACACAGAAACAATCTCTTTCGATAGCCTTACGCAGTAGTAAGTCCAAAGGCCTCTCAGATCTGTTCGGATCACCATGGACTACTGGAAATGTAAAAAGCAGCATTTCCTAGTTTGCAGGTCACACACTTGATGCACACCGTAATTATAGCTTCCTCCTCTGCATTTCTACAGATCCTGTTCCACTTCATTTGGAAATCCACCATCTGAAAACGTAGCTATCTATGGGGTTTCAAAGCCTGACCACCTGATAAAGCCTTGAGTTCCAAACAATCACATCAAACAATTCCTGTTCCTTACATTTTGCTATGAACTGCAACAATCGCTAAATTGATGGAAATATATACGAAATTATTAGCATGTAATTAACAGCCAGTTCCCAGTTACAGAGTGGAAAATATGCAAGAGCACAGGGCAGTAGAAAAATCTGCAACGTGGCTTCTTTGTCCTTCCACCCTCGCTCCCACCACCACTGTTTGTGTCACTTCAAACTTTTTTGCTGATGTGTTGGAAGTTTCAACACTGTCAGCTGAAGGAGGCATAGCTTGCACACACACTAGCCTAATTTTACAAGCTTTTACTCTGCAAGAAGATCTAGAGCATTTACTGCATGGATTGTGTGGAAAACAGAAGTAGAATCTTGTAACAAAGGACCTGTTGTCTAAAATTAAACAATTAAAACTTACAGAAGACTTTATACTATCTAAACTTCTCTTCAGATCCCAAGAACCAGATAACACAGCCTACATCTTAAAACAAAAGTTTTCCATTTATTCCCCAAAAGGGCCCATTTGTTTAGTATCATAAGCCCTTTAAATAGTTTGCACATATGGTAGTCACCTATAAACTTTACATTTACCTCCACTGGGATTTAAAATTCAATAGTTGTTTCTTATTCTAAGTACAAAGAAATAGTACTAGTGACACTTTAATTGCAATCTCTTTACAAACTGTTTTATGTCCTTTTCTTGACTTAATTACCTTGCTTCATGCAGGTTCACATCAAATCCTTAAGATCATTTTACTACTTCAGCGTTTTACTTCTGTTTATTTTGCACATTAAATACAAATTGTCATTTACAATGCCTTTTGGTTTACTTCCTTAATTTTAGCTTCATTACCAGGATTTGGCTAAGAAATCCCTAACAGCTCCCCAAAAAGCCTCAAATGTTATTCAGTTTCAAAGAATGATTAAGCTTAGACCTTTAGTTCTGCAAACTAATACAGTTAGTTTTTTCAGGACCAAAAGAACTAATTGCTTGACTAAGAAAACCGAAGAATTACAGAATCAGGTCCAAGTTTTGTCTATACGCACAAACCGTTGCTGTTTCTTCCTAACTACTAACTATAAATTGCGGCGTAGCACAGCTCTTTTGGGCATAGCGTAAGGTCTGATAACTGCAAAGTCTTTTGGCTTCAAGTGGGTCACATTAAGCCTATTCATAGACAACACGTGAATGGGAAGCAAAGGATCAGCTGCCGCGTTGTGATTTTCACTGCATTGCAAAGTTCACTCCTTGGCTTTCTATTTTCAACTTGGTTTTGTACTATTACACCACCGAGAGGCTTTAAGTGAATACATGGCTTATTAGGTAACTAAACTTCTAAGGAACACTTTTGGCCTGTCCTGTAACTCCAAGTGACCGATACTCTGTGACTTCTCATTATGAAAACCATGAACAGCTTTAAGAAGAAAAGGTGACAGACATGCATAGGTAGAAAAGATGCTGCTGCAATAACAGTACTACACCCCCTGTTATCTAATCTCGGTTGTCTTGGTGTACAGCACTTGTCAGGTACAGAAACCATGCTTCTGCCTTTAAAGCAGCAAAAATATTATGGCTGAGGTGGACTGACAAGCACGCAATTGTGGAAAAAGTAAAAAAGCCTATGAGAGACTTGCAATTTGCAGATACTTTGCCTCTGCTATTTCTGCCCCCAGAGTTCCCTAAATCCTTCCCAAAACAAGCTAGAGTTGAGACTGAAAATTATCTTCTTTGCGTGAGCTAGAATTCTGTAACGCACAAAACTATCCATCACTATAGCAGGTTGCTTGAACTCATTGACCACTCAAATTGTCTGGAAGAAAAATCTATTGGTTTCTATACATTGAGTTGCAAGGATAATATAGTACCTACAGCTCTCCGAGCATAAACTCTGCAATTCCCCCTGCCAACCTTTTCCCCAAGAGACTTTCCTATGATTAATGATAGTTGAACTAAGAAAAATGAATGTGAAAGACTATAATATAGAAGACCAGAGCAGATGCCTCCCCCTCCTTGTCAGATGGAAAACAGGTTGGTGAATAATTAAGTTGTGAAATTCCACAACCTCCCTCTCAGGCTAAACTACAGGTAGGAAGACTAAATAATAAATTCTGCCTAATGAGTTATTCTGCATTTCCCCAACCAACTGATCAAATATGAATACCTAGTAAATGCACTCTAATTGTCTACATTTAGGCCCAGAGAGAGAATGGATACTTGAAGTGTTTAATCATGTAAATTTGAACAAACTCTTCCATCAAGAAGCACTGAATCTCTGTTATAGACACAGCACCATAGTGGACACTAGCAACATTAAGGATGAGTTGATGCTTATTCCTCACCAATTGTATATAGGAATGTATGCCCAAAGTTTATTGTTTCAAAGAGCTTAAAGTGATGCTGAACTACTGCTTAACAGCAGCTTCTGTAAAATACAGAACTGAAAGGGTTTTGGCTTTTAAAGTTGACCTAGCAAAAAGCCAGGGCACTTGCCCACTCCGAAGCATGGACATGGTTCAAGAACATCTATGCCAGAAGACTCCCAGTACTGGGCACAGTCTGCAACCTGAATGAACATCTCATACATAGCAGTCTTAATTAATTTGTTTTAGCCTTCTTCCATTCCAGGACAAATCCTCTCCAGACAAACTGGGTTTACAACAGGGCAGAAGTACTTTTCCTGGATCTCTAAGGTTTTTGGGTTTTTTTAAATAGATATATGCAAAAATTGGGATTATCCCAATTACAGTATATGAAAAGTCATTGAAAATTTCCCTGTGAGTGAGTGAAGAGCTAAGGTAGCAGCTCATTACAGATGTTGAGGGCATTTTCTACAGTTCAGGCACATTCTTACTGATTTTATTCTAAGAAAATAGTAACACTGATAAATAGGTATCTCTGAGCATAAATAGAAGAGAATTTCTAAGGCTGTCTCATAAAGAGTTTGCATCAGATCACTGAAGTGGTTTTCTATTTGTCAAAGAGCAAAATATCACAGCATGTTTTTTTACTCCCACGTATCTACTACTTAATGGGCAACATTTCACAGGCAGTGTTGCTATATCCAAATGTACTAGCAACTCTGAAATTGAAGCAGCTGTTCTGCAAGGAGTAGGAAATAGGTTAGGGATATAATTTTTATAAGACTGCTCATCTTTTGGCAGGGAAGGTTTTTCCCAAGGAGCTAGTCATTTACATGAAAAACTTGGACATAATGGAGTCAAGCAGGCTTCTGTAATACAAGTAACTTTGAATCCCCTGGCAACTCCTTACTCAGTCCTATTTTTCTGTCTTTTCTATACAGAGTTATATTCTAGCTCCCCTGAAAGATGAAAACAGCTCTGAATAGAGAAGACAGTTAAATATAAAATACTTTAAATCAATAAAATATGTTCTCTGTGGCTGTTTTACTGACAGGAGCGATCTGTTCTTTCTCTCCTTAACCTCAACACCCTGAAGAAATTTCAAAGCACACCAAAGATAGAGACTTTGTGACGGCAGCCTAACCACAGTTGACAATCAACCAAAAATGCAAGTGAAGTTGGGGGCAGGAGAGGGAGAGAACAACTTGTTTGTTTGTAGGTAAAGAGATCCCTCTACTGGTTTTACGTGATATTGCAGGGACAGCAATGTCCACGTACACCTGCTTTAGGTCCTTATTTAATAACTGAACCAAAACATCCACTGAATAAATCACGCTCATTTAATCTTTTACATAATTTAATATAGCAGGAGACTAATCCCTAACTGAAGAGGACTAGCCTTTGTACGCAGGCAGGACTCTAGTTGAGATGACTTTAGAAAAATCCACATGACAAGGCATACAGGTGAAACGTATGTTTTATGCCAAATGCTCAGCAGAAGGTGCATCCTTTTTTCAAAGGAAGAAAAGAACAAACCTGATCGTTCACTTTGTTGCATGAGCTGTGCGTGTTGGAAGCAGAAGTGCTTATCCAAACGCCTACAGCAAGGTAAAAAACCCAAAACAGAATACGAAGCAAGTAAAATTAATAAACAGATACAGCACATCATTTTTATGTTAAATTGGGATCAACTAATCCTGTGCTTTGGGAATTTTGCAAGTAAAAGTTATTAAATATACAGTTTTTACAGTGACGCCACTATGACAGCAAAAAGCAAGCTGAGTTTTGGCTTACGGTTGCAACAACTGGCTACTTACTCCTGTTCTGCATTAGAACTTAGAAGAAAGTTTAATTTGTGTAATTTAAGATAATATATATACATGTAGCAAGACAAATACAGCAGCAATGTAAAACATACAATGTCGTACCCATTCAGACTCTCCCATCAGAAAACCTGAAGCCAATAATAACCACTTACCTACCACATACAAAGGCTAATGATTTTTTTTCTAGGACCTAAGACTGTCAAGGTGATACTTATTTTAAAATATTTTTCTGTGCAGACTATGTGCCTATATTTTCCTCAGTCTTCTTGGCCACATTCTTTTGAACACTAGCTTTAGGCAAATGCATTTACCTTTCCAAGAAGTATTCAAATTACAAACCTAAATCTTAGAAAAGGATATGCCAGAAATGCTAAATTATTTTTAAACATTATAAAATAAAAAAGTGATAATAACATTAATGGTTTTGTCACTTCTGCTCTTCTGTAGTTGTGCTTCATCCAGCTCCTTCTCCATTTTCTCTCTTTCTAAATTCAAATCATTTAGCTCTTGATCGGTCCTTTTAATCCTCCTTTGTAGTTTACGATTCTCAGCATCCTTTGTAAGGTTTTCTGAACGCAGCTCTGCTAAGAGGGTTTCTTTTTCCATCAAGAGAGCTTGATAATCCTCAGCACCCTGAAACATAATGCAGCATTCAAGTTCTGTAAGGGTATTTTGTAGAAACTGGAAGCCTTTACTCCTGTTGCGTCCAAACCCACTCCCCCACACCTCTTTCCAGTACTTAAAAATTATGGTGCAAAAATACAGTGAAGTGACAGTTACTCAGACAAGGAAAACGCTACACTAAAAGTTTTCTCAACTAATGTAACACAGCTTTCAGTGACATCCAGCGCAGGATAAGAAAGTCTTAGATAAAAATTAGATAAAGGTTGACTGCAAAGGAGTCCATAGTGCAAATGAGACCATATTGTTACTACCGGTTTCCAAAGCTCTTATTACATAAAGCTTTCTGCTTTTGGGTCAGTTTGAATCCAGACTAGGTCACATAGTTACCAAGTCATAAGCATATTTTTTATATGAGATAACAAGTCTGATTTGTGTTCTTCCCCATCACATACTGTTACAACTGGCCTCCTTGAAGTTCACAACACAGATGACAGGAGTAGTGCACTGTGCAGCATGATCTACTCACAGAGAACTGCCTTCAACTCAAGTTTGTAGCTAAGTAGCAGAGCAATGAGGAGAAAGGCTTGCTCTGTCACCCACCATGCAATATGGATTCTGTGGACAGGAGGGATTAGTTGTACACTTTTTAAATTCAGAACTTTTCAAAAATAATCAAGCTCTCAAAAATGAAAGCATTAAAATTAGAGTAATATTTCAAGACGGGACTTCCATAGTATGAAAAAGCAAAACATAAGCTATAGATTCACTCAGACCAAAATGACCTGAAGAAGAAATAGGATATGCTTTTCTCAATAGAGTACACATAAAATTTGGGCTTCAGGGAAATAAACAGCTTTTGAAAAGATTGAGGTGTTCTATGAGAACTGAACATTACTACTCCATTAGACTCTGAAATCAAAAAACAGTCCAGTCAGTCACAAAAGCTTTGGGGGTGTGTACTTTGGAGGCAGGCGTATCAACCTCTTCCATTCCTGCCAAGCTAAGAGACCAAGTGGATGAACAAACATCATAATGGAAGATTCATCACTGTCTCTAATCAGTATTAGTTTTATCAGACTCTGTTTTAGATGAGTTGGAAAACATTACAAGAGACATTATGTTGCCTATTTTAATATCAAATTCTTACTTTCTCCCATTTTATATTTTAAGACCTTTATAATGCATTGATTATCATCATAAAGTCCTCTCTCCTCCACACACATGAAAGCATTACTAAATCACATTTCACAAACAATACTCCACGATTTTGTAAACAGTGGTTTCACATTTGTTATCTAAATAAATACAGACAAGTGTCTCATATCTAGCTCAACTCTGCTAACATGAAGAGTGTGCTGTTATCATACTTTTGGAAGAACAACCAAAACATCTTTAGGTCAAAGAAAGCTCAATAGCATCTCAACTCCACAACTATTTGTGTCTTTAACTCATTTTGTTTTTACACATTTCTCCCTTAATAATTCTCAGTTGCTATAGAAGAAAACACTCAAGAAACAAGATAAGTAACCTGACATTTTAATGCTCTATCATTTAAATAATTTTATTTGGGATTTTTTTTTTCAAAGTAAGAAAAATTAAACCTTTTAAGCAGCATTTTTAACTAATTCCAATTCCTCTACTTTCAAAGATACAAAGCACTACCTGCTGTGTGGAATTGTTGAGAAAGGAGGAGCAGGGATGGGGGAAACCACATCAATTTCTTGCTTCTTACCTTGAATTTCTGGATGTGTGCTTTGTGAGTTGCCTCTCTTGCCTTAGCCAATGAAGCATTTAGATCTTCAATTTCAGAACCAAGCTCCTCATTCTTTAAGTAAAGGAAAATGAATACTGTGTGAAAGAGTTATTTCCAAGGGACAGTGATTCAGCAATAGCTATACCATCCCATTATCCATTCATCCAACTACACGAGACAAATACTTTAAAGAACAAAACCACCAAATACATCATAAGTCTTGTATAAAGAAATTCTTATTCTTACACAACACTCACTAGACTGCCTATCACTCAAGGTAAATATTTCCTATTCTTCCACAAAATCTGAATTTCGGTTGACGCTGACCTCTCCTATGACAGATCCACTTACTCAACAACATAACATACTTCCCACACCTTTTAAGTGGTGCTCAGAGCTGATAAAAATCAGTGTGCTACTGAAAACATTTTTCCTCAAAGTTCTTAAGGGAAAAAGTATCAGTTAAGTGTCTTTTTCCTTGCTCATCCAGTCTAAAACCCAAAACTCTAGATAAACAGAACTGCTTACAGATATGACAGCAGCAATTAAGGACCCACTAGAAGTCTCCTAATGATTACAGTGAGACAGTCACCCACTGCCACATACACAACGCACACAGTCCTCTCCCAGTGACAGTTCTACAAACCAGCAAGATGATAATCACCATACCTCTTTTTCCTTTGCTTTTAATGCAACAGTTAGCCCTTGAATGGTTTTATCCCTTTTCAAACCATTCTTCTTTTCAACAGCAAGCTCATTTTCTCTCTCTTGTAGCTCTTCTTGAAGTGACTAAATTAGATTATGTGAAAGTTGCATTAACTTCCCGCTAAGAGATACTGTAACTGCACATTAATAAGTACATTCTCTCAGAGTTCTTATACCTTATTACTCAGATTACTAACATAAAATATAGTCCCAAAATGTGAGTCATCATCTTAAAGATGTGCCTGGAATATAGCATAAGCAGCCTAATCTCGTGGGCTTCAATCAGCTTCAATATTTGACGAGTGTGCCTATTGGTTTTACTGAAAACTGCTTCAAAAACAAGGTGAGCCTTCCTGTCATCTAACATAAAAGAGAATTTATCAGAGAACTTGCTTTGCTTCCTTTTGAGTCAAGGCCTCTCTGTATCTACAAATGCATAACAGAAGAGATCCCAACATGTCCTGTAAGTGGTCAAGAAAACAGAAACAAAACTAGAACTTACCTGAATTGTTTTTTCAAAGGAATTTCTCTCGGTTTTAAGCTCCATTCTAATAGCCTATAAGAACAAAGCAGTTGTTACGGTCAAGTAAGTTAATTCTGAACACAAATGTAACTCATTAAGGATTAAAATTAAGCAAAATGAGCTTAAAAACCTTTGAGGGGGCGGGGGACAAACACACCACAAAACTTGAATCATTGCTTCCTGGAAGTCTACAAATCTACCTGGGCACAGTGTGAGCCTGTCCAAATTAAGAAGAAAAAACCCCAAACCACCACACAACATGTTCTTCCATGAGACAGGACAACTGTACTTGCTGAGTTAATAAAAATGCATTTCTGTGTGACAGTTATCTATGTCGGCAAGATGCTTTTATCATGGGAGATTTTAATTAGCACTTTTCCTTGGGGAGGTTACAGGATTTTTTTTTAAAGAAGTAATCATATATAAAAACAGAGTTGTGCAAAGGTATTAATCAGATTTTTTTTCTCCAGTACTGTATCGCAAAATAATCAGTCTGTCCCTCTCCTATGAAATGACTAAAGATGACCCTGTTTTCATGTTGACATGCAAATACTCCTGTGAAACCAGGGTGTTTTTCCTGACGCATATTGATTTCATTGCAAGACAACCCAGAACTGAACTAATCAGTACAATCATAGGAAGTTCTCTTGTCTATTCTTGACAAAAACAAGTGTGTAGGTACTGATCAATATTAAGTTCCAAAACAAAAGCGAAGAAAATTTCTCAGAAGCACGACAGCCTCCATGATTACTTTCTTAATTCTGCCAGCTTTAATTTATCATTTGAATAACCAATGGAGAATAAAGAGACAACAAGCCTTAAGACCTGTTTCTACATTTCAGATTTCAGGATATCTGTCTTCCTGTTTAAAAGCCAAGTGAAATAAAAGACTGACTCTTAGCACCTTTTGTAAGATAAAGTCTAGACTTTCACCTTATTTTATGAGATTTTTTTTTATGCCTAGCTCCCTTACCACAGCTTTTTCTCCAGACCATAGAGATACTGTAGATACATAGAGATACTTCCCAAAAATAATCTCTTAGGTCACATTCTTAACTTATATAGTAGTTATGTCATCTATTCAGGGATCTATTAAAGTCTACCATTTTTTTATGTATCTACTTCTGTAAAGCAATTGCACAGTATCTATAATACAGGAAAAAAGTCAATGGGAAACATGACCTCTCATTGAATGAACAGTAAGCGTGGATAGTAAGGATGTCTGTTGACCCCCAAACCACAATACAACCAATGAATGTTAAGGAAATGGAGAAGGGAAGGAGGGAAGAATTGTGGAGAAGAACATTTTAAAAAATTGTCTTAAGTCATTCACATACTGTCATGCACAAAACCTTTAAAATCCTACACCACATGGGGTTTATAACACATGACTGGTCAGTCAGTTTCCTCACCTCTATCTCACTATCTTTTTCATGCCTCAAAGCAATGGTAAGTTCTCTGATTTTTTCTGCTGATAAGTTCCCATCATAAGATCCACTCTGAGACTTTTCCTCTTCAAGGTGTTGAATTATAGCTTCTTTACTTTTCAATGACAGATTCAGTTGCTCTATAAGTCTAAAATTACAAGATTTTTAATATTAATCTTGCATCATCTACTACCAGTTCTCCAGTCATTGCAGTAAATCTTGCAGACAACTTTCAGAGGTGAAGACTCCAGACAATACTTGTAAAACTCAGGGGGTTACTTTCACTACCCCTTCTCCCTCCAGAGAAACCAGAAAAGGTGCCGTAACTTTAAAGCAAGCAACAAACGGTGCTCAGCTATCTGCAAAGTGCTCATTCTTATTTTCCTCCAGTACTGTTTTAAACATCAACACTTAAGCTTCAATATTTTAGTTATGTTGTCCTTTACAGCACACACAAAAAGTTTATCAATTTATTCCACTTCTTAGCACATACAACGCTATATCCTTACATGCCATCACTAAGTGTCCCTCAGGTACCTAGTTTCATTTATATTTATACCTAAGCTGATTCTCGTTTCACATAAACAAAAAAAAAAAGTTAGGTCAGTGCTACCTTCTTTGGTCAACACACATCTTGACAGTTCCAGTATTTCAACCGATAAAAACAACAATGCTTGACTTTTCTGACAGATGTAAGGGTTATGTGAAAACTTTCTGGCATAAGATGCCAGCTGTGATTCTTAGAATTTTGTAGCCTAGATGGTGAAAGCATCTTTTTAACACAATATGAATTCCAGACATCCTACTCCCAGACAAGTTTAAAGCATTGCACATTAATATTTTATTCACTTCAAGAAGTCAAATATTCTCTTCTTCCATTGGCACTATGTTTTTCTGGTCCTGTGAATACTTACACTGGTCTACCAGCATGTAATTATAGAAGACCCTGCTAAAACTGGATCACATAGGGTGGGGAGGAAAAAAAGGGGGGAGAAAGGGGAAGATGTTCTTCATCATACACTACACAGCTTTCACTTTAGTGATCCAATCTTGACAATTTGTTTCCACACTTTAAGCATTGTTTTTAAACAACACAAGCTATAGATCCGGCAACTCAAGTACCTCTGAAAGGGACTGGTTTTATAACTCAGGAGAGCCACTGCGTTCATGCAGATGACTAACAGATAGAAAGAGGAATACAGGAAAGCGGAAGTGGGCCACTGCGTTCATGCAGATGACTAACAGATAGAGGAATACAGGAAAGCGGAAGTGAAAAGGAGAGAAATAACTTGAGAGCTGGGTTATAATTACTGTGGTGGCACACAAGGTGCAGTATCAAAACCTATCAGTTTCATAATTTTATGCTACTGTAGATTTCAGAATTGCAGTTTTCAATCTGTATGCTTTTACAAAAACTGTCTGGAAAACACTGCAAACCTTGCTTTGGTCCTACCTTAACATAAAATCTATGAAATTAAAGCCTCAGGGACAACATAATTTCCTGTTACCAGGGTAGACCAATTATGCAGTTACTCACAGAGCAGTTACCTGCAGGTTCAGTCACAGACAGACAAGAAAGGATACTCCGAAGTATAAGGAATCATAATGATCTTTTGATCTCCACTTCAGGATTGCATCCCCAAACTAACTAAGCTTTAGTGGGAAGCTCATCAGGCATTTATTTTACCCTACGTATCTTAAAAAAAAAACCAAAACCAAAATCCTTCAAAGTATTGAGATTTGAGTTTACACATTGACCACCTAGAGTTATTGAACAACTCGCACACCTTTCCAACTACCTGCCAAACAAAGCAAAAGCCAGTGCTTTGCAAAGCACAATCAAAACCATGAAGCTCAAACACACTGTGTTTCTCTTCCCATTAGATTTACGAACCTCAACAAATACATCACTGGGACCAAAGAGTAAATAAACATGATGAACGCAGTAAGTGAACACAAATGGTAGAGTCAAGTTCTGTTCAGCAATGGTTTCAAGAAAGCATAAGCAGGAGGTAAGTCAGGAAAGTTACAAAGATGCTTTAAAGGAGGAAACGCTCATGTCACATGCATACTGATTCTTTCCTGTGTTCGTTTAATAGCTGAATAGGAAAGATGGCCAGTAACGCATATCTGAGGGCAGGATCAAACTATTAAAACCTATGTCCATGTCGACTCTTCACACTTTAAACAGTAAAGAATTCCAGTGGTTAGAAACATCACTGGCAAGAGTTCTGACCTGTCTTTCTCAGCTCCTGTAATCATATCCGGATCCTTTGCAGGGACATTCATAATTGAAGAAAGTTTCTGCTCAGCAGCTATTCTCAGAGCTTTCTCCTTCTCTGTCATTGCAATGCCTTTTTCCACATCTTCTTGGGCAGCTTTAAGATTCTGTAATTAAAGCAGACAATCCTGATGCCTGTAAGAACAAAACTCTTACAAAATTTTTCACATATTGAAGTTTCTTCTACCAAACATATGTTAGTATATTTAATTTAGCAACTTTTACCAAGTAGTTCAAGCGCTTTGCAAATGCTTCTGAACACTGTGTGTCTGCATTTCCAAGATTAATCCATTTTCTGTGGTACATAAAGAAAAGAGATTTGCTTCAAAGAAATAAAACAAATACCCTAACTGATAGCAGAACTGGAAACAAAAGTGCCCCTATGCTATGGCTTTAGATTTGGCTATTATAATTTGGCTTTGTCCCACTGTCCTCCCACTATCATAATAAATAGCTACACTTAAATTAAAGAGGTTAAAGAAGGTCTTTTTTATTCAATCAGAGCTGAAATTAATATTCACAGGCTCACTGTAGTTAATTGGAACTCTTCCCAAAATAATTTATAATGTTTTGCAAGAATTGATAAAGTATGAACCAGGCGTTTTTCTCCTGAACAGCAACAGAAACAGAGATAACACCCAGAGATTCAAGTCAATTTGCTCTAGTGATCCAGCTCATGGAGGTGGGGATCACCAGGAAAACCACTCTTGTTATACACTACAAAAAATTTGTTTCAGATCTTGATTTTTATATTGTAAGCTTCCCTGCTGTGCTCACCGAATTTTGCTTTCTATGAAATAAAAACCTCCTTGTAGCCCAAAAAGTAATTCCCCTCTCCTTCAAGTCTACACTAAAAAGCATATTTACAATCAGAAAAAGTCCTTCACCACTAGATTTCACCACTCATTCCCTCTCTTGAAAAACTGTTCTACCAGCATTCATCTTTCAATCAAAAACTCTGAAGGAAATTAATCTTCATTAGCATTATCTGGATCTAAATAATTATATGGTTCTACATAAACAAGTGACTAATACTAGTCCACAGTGTTTATATTCATAAGCACAATAAAATTAGTGTCAGAGGCTAACACTGTCTTCAGGCTACAGAAAATATTGCTCACCATGAGGCCCTTCTGCCTGTCAGATCTGGGAAACATCAGTCTGACTGGCTGTTTTGGTACAGAATAAGTAATTTAGGAATTTCTCTACCTATCCAATAGCACAAAGAATGCTTTGAGAAATCCCAATTCTGCTAAACTGAAAAAAAGGTCATGGAGATTCCCCCCTCCTCCTCCCTGAAGGAGCTCACTGCTTTATAAATACTGCTAAATCATCCTGATAGAAAATACCATCAGGAGATTGCTACCAGTATCTTCCACGACCAATTGATTCTTTAGGGGTGGGAAAGCAAATATTGGAATATACCCGCTTGTGCTATTTCTATTTACTTACAGAAAGAGCACCAGATGCCTACCCCCCTCACAAACACAGCCACAAAATCCCACACCTACAGATAAGTGTATACAGTCAATGATGCAAAACAATCATGAGCTTATGTATTTCTAGAACTTGACACAAACATTTCCAGCACAGACCATTCAATATCAAATTTGTTCTTTACAAGAAACTGAACTTCTCCTTGCTTGTTATTCATACCATTTTTTTTTTGCCTTTACACTACAAAATGAGGAAAACATGAAGCAATTCCCCTGTAACGATACCAGCAACGGCTCAACAATAAATATAGGAATAAACTGTCTCAACCACAGACAGCAAGGAATTAAAAAAGACATTGCTAAGAATAACCCTGTGGAACAGAAGAATGATCTGTAAAAAGATGATATAGTGACAGCAGAAGCCAATAGCATTTGGCAGATAACGGTCAGTCTAACAACAGAGGCATGCAGGCACAACACAGGGAAGCGCCCACTGGCTCACCTACGCAGAAACTGCCAGAAGTAGGTGGCCTTTCAGCCTATAATGAACACACAGGAGTGGAGATCTAAATCTGAGACTCTGTGGCTTTTTCCCTGTTGCAATACTGAGGGCCCCTATAAAGACAGGAAATGACAGGAGTGCTTACAGAGTGGTTTTGGCATTTATGAAGCCGAGACCTTATCAGTAGAAGTGCTCAAATCCAGCCCCTTTTTCCTCTAAACAGACATTGCCATTCTGAAAACATAGCCTCCTCACACTGGAATTCAGGAATCAAAGGTTCATGCTGAATGTACCTAAATACCACCAATAGGTATGAATTTCCTGAAGAACTATCTTCATATTTGACAGTTCAAGAGCAGCTAAAAACACCTTCCCTTTCATTGGCTGTTTTCTTTTTTTCCCCCTCTGGTTTTGCACTGGCTATTTTTCCAGGAAAGCTGAAACAATTTTGAAAATATAAGTAGATCAGAGTATCAAATGTCAGACAATAGTACAAAGACAGTACTGATTTCTAACTATTCCTTCAGTCTTGGCCACTCACCTCTTCCAGAAAGTTTATTCTGCTAGTCAGGGTTTCTTCCATTTCTTGCATCTTCTTTTGTGCCTCTTCTTTCACGCGCTGTATTTCAGCATCACCACCCTGAGCCAAGCTTTCAACTGCCTTACTGAAAGACCACAATATAGACACAAATCCCATTTCATATCGAAGTGCAAAACATTTAAAGTGCAAGTGGCTGATAGGGTATACAAGCAAATGTCTTCCATTTTATCTGCACCTGCTTGTCACTTTAAGGTTAAACACAAACTTCTACACACTATATCGCAATTTTGGTGGTGTAGTCTGAGAGTTGTCTTGTCACAGTGGACAAGCAAACACTTTATATTGTTTTATATATATTATATTTAATAAAACAGCAGAGGAAAATAATAATAGAATATACAAACCACGTCATGCACAATGTAACCGCTCACCACCTGCTGACCAATGCCCAGCCCGTTCCTGAGCAGCAATCACTCTCCCCCAGCCAACTCCCCCCTGGTTTCTATACTGAGCATGATACCATATGGTCTGGAATAGCCCTTGGGCCAGTTGGGGTCGGCTGTCCTGGCTGTGCCCCCTCCCAGCTCCTTGTGCCCCTGGCAGAGCATGGGAAGCTGATGAGTCCTTGACTTAGCGTAAGCGCTGCTCAGCAACAACTAAACCATCAGGGTGTTATCAACATTATTCTCATACTAAATCCAAAACACAGCACCATGCCAGCTACTAGGAGGAAAATTAACTCTATCCCAGCCAAAACCAGGACTTATATATGACGAAAAAGTATATTTCCTTCCTAGTTTTAAAGCTTCCGAATACGGTATCAAGAGCTTGTTGTATTTACTACCAACAACAGCACTGGAATAAACTGAATATAGGCAGCTGCTGAGACTTCTGCAATTGCCTTTTCAGTAATTGTTAATACCTTGTAAGAAAAAAAACAGCTAGTGTTTCCTTACTAAACAAAGGATGACCACTTGTTTATGATTTCCCCCTAAATTTTGCTTCCTGTTATGAACTTGTGCAAGGTTCCATTCAAAGCCCAGCAATACTTTTTGACAGCTACCTGGAGAGACCAAACATGAATTAATCTGGTCCTCAGGATCTACTTGAAACTAGGCCTCTCTGAACTACTGAAAAAAAGGCAAATTGGTAATGATTCAATGCCATGTGAGGTAGGCCACACAAAGAAAATTTCACTGAAACTGAGGCCCATGTAGCAGTCAGCAGCTGTCAGTCATTTCCAGCTTGGATTAGTTTTGAACCAGACATCTAGAAGGAAGCAATTTCACAGGTTCTTGTCAGCCCTTCAGTCATCCACTCCCTCCCCAGCACATATTCCACCTTGCCCATGCCATAAGACAATGTAGTACCATGTAATTTTTTTTAAATGAGTATTTATTTAGAAAAGAGGTTTTAACAGAAAAGTAGGAATTTTTAAGTGCTTTCATTTTTGTAACATTAAAACCCACAAGACTCAATCTAGATCAGTTCTGAACTGCTCTCTCAGCCTTACTGAGGAGTGTTTTATGCACTGTCTTCCCAATGCAGTGCTGTAACAGAAAAACTTCACCTGTTCAGATAATTAAGCTCTCAGTTTAATGTCTACAACAAGAATGCTAAGCCATTCCCAACTAGGGGGTCATTTACTTACCTGAAAAAATATGGTAAAATGAAGGATAATATCAAAGTCACACTATCCAGTATAACTACATTAACATTATTGTGCATTTAAGAATTCACACATCTAATTTTTTGTAATGAATGAAGCATTTTCTAGATAAATGCCCTTAAAATACTACTTTGGGATCCTCATACTCCTAAAACATGAGGAGAAAATGAACATAATCAAGATCTTGGAAATCCTAGGTAACAAACATGGAAAAATACACTGGTACTTACGAGGCTTTGATAAGTAGTTTCTCTCTCTCCTGCAGATCATGCTTCAGACTTTCTATCTCAACTTTCAGCTCAATGTTCTAGGACAAAAGAATGAAAGTGTCTGGAGAGATTTCAGAGGTCACCCTACCCAAAAGTTATTGGCAACGTGTAGATTACTTTTTGTTTGGACAAGCAAATAAAAATTGTCATTGGGTTAAGAATAGTATCGAGACTTTTTAGCTTTTAAATGACATATTTTGTAAGGGTTAAGACCTTCAGAAATCTCAAAAAGCATTTAAGACCACTGTATTCAAGAACTACTTGGCCTGCAAGTTGACAGATATCATTTTAACAAATTATCAATTACGAGAAAAACATCAGTGTAGAAGACCAATCAGCAATATTCAGTTGAAACTATGATCCATGCACTTAACTACTGCAACAAGCATCAAGAGACACCTCAAGTTTCCATCCTGTTACAGAAGAGAGACCTGATCTGTTATAAATAACATGCTACTGTTTTACCAAAATTACTTCTTTTCCCTTCTAGAATGCAGGCACCACCAAAGGGCATAAGAAATGCTTCCTATCATCTGTAAACCTGAAATAACGAGGATGCAAGACTCAAATCCTTCTTCTACCTGAAAAAGATAGGGTTTTTTTTTTCTTCTGATATAGGAATCAAATAGATTTCCTGAATCCTGTACAAATACACATTCTTTCAATTCAAAGCAATTCTTTCAATTTAGAGCAATAAAACTGGAAGCTATACACAACCCTAATACAAGTTGATCTACATGCTTCAGAGGAAGCACCTTTGCCTAAACAGCCTCAAATTAGATGTACTGACATCTGATAAAGCCAGGAAAGAATAGAGAGATGAACTAAACTGCTCGATAGTAGAAAGCAGAATAACTACATACCACATTCAGGGGAAGCCTGCTGCTTTTTCTATTCCCCATTTAGTATATGATAGACACTCATGCATTTGAAACTGATTTTTCCACACCTTATAAAGGTCATTTTAATTTAGCTGTTACAGAAAAGATTAGGCCAGAATAAAATAAAGCTATCCTAACAAAATTTCCAACAATAAAAGAAAACACTCAAAAGTTGAGTAAAACAGGTAACGTCCCCACAAAAACTCTTCAAAAATATATAGAATTCTATTAAATTATTCTAAATGCATACGATTTTGTATATTTCTTCAGTGGGACCATCAAACTTCTGCTGCATTCGCTCCTCCAGAAAGTATATACGAAGCTTCAGGTTGAAGTTCTCTTTTTTCAGATCGGTTATTTGCTATGAAATAAGAAGGAAAATGAGTAAATTGTGTCATGTGTTTCAAACAAAGTAAAATAAAGAGTGAAAGCTACTATCATTTGGGTTTGCTCTCCACAGCGGAAGATTATTATTCAACCCACCGGACATGGTTAAACATGTATATATGAATGGCTGATATATACACACACACACACATTAAAATTGTGAAGGTGTTAACAACGATACACGATACCCAAGACAAAATGAAACATCCTTCCCCCAAGACAGCGTCACTCAGGGAGCTGCAAATACTCCAAGCCCCTCAACAGGTTTCTATCTTCTCCAGCTTCAGCACGTACCACAGAACATATTTTTCTCCCACCATCCCATCCCAGCCATAACATCTTCTCCCATCTCTATTTGTCACCTTAACACAAAGAAATCTCCAGACTGCCCCTTCTGAATGTTTCGGATTTGTTTCTCGGTTTTGTTTTGTTTAAGATATATAGGCACAATGACACACACAGAAACTTTGTTTGTGCAAGATGTTATCACTTAGCTTCTGTTTATTTTTAGCTCTGCAAAACTCTGAGACACCAGCACTTAAGCAAATAACAATTATAAAATAGTATTGTTTAAAAATTTATAATATTCATGCTGTGCATGAATTAGAATATTCCTTCTTTAAGTACTAAAACATTGTCTGAGTTTACACAAAAAGAATTCAAGATACTTTTTTAAAATCTAAAAATATTAAGTAGCTCTTTCTTCTACAAAACAGAACTTGAACAAAACATAAGATGTCACGCTGAAACTGAAGCATTTTCTTGGCAAAAGCTTGGGATGGTAGCCTTACTCATGGAAAGAAAAGCCACAAGCACACAAGGCACGTGAGCCCAATCGAACACCAATAAAACCGTTATCCCATCCCATATTTCATAGTGCAATTCTTTGTGAAAAAATTGCTTATGATTTTTAACCTTCCTAGTAGAAGCAGTAACATAATTGATAGTTTCATTAAAGAAAAGTCTGCCTCTAATTTTTAAGACACCAAGCATAAAACATCCATTAAAATAAAACTTGTGTCCCCTGCCAGAAGCTTTCAGCAAAAGGAAATCTAATGTTACAGAGTTACTAATAAAATATTTATGTAGGCTTTTCCAGAACAGTGTAGTATGACTTGTAAAAATTATTAGCAATGCAATTCTTAAAATATTTGGCTTGTGAAATATAAGATTATTTTTCTGTAACTGCACTCAGAACCTGCAGCTGCAAACAATTCTTCAGTTTAATAATCTTTGCCCAGCAAGATGCCTCGTCATTATTCACACAAGTAAATACCATCCAAGCAACTGAAAATACACTTGACTGCACAAACCATGTCCCACTCACACGACTGAAGAAGCCTGTCTTCCGAAGCAGTAGCAATACATATATCTAACCTCACCTTTGGCTCCCTACAATTCCAATTGGATGACCACAAACAGTAGCGGATATAAAATTGAACTATGCAAGTTTTAACTGTTTAAAGCATGATACCTCATCAGCATCACGGAGTATCTTGAGTAACTAGAATTATTATTTTGGAACATTCAAATAAATATAAGCATGAAAACAATGCAATTGGGTACTTCAATTTAAGTCACTGGGCCCAATGGCGAATATTGTTCAAAACCAAAATCCTTATTCAGAGTAAGCAAAGAAATTAAAGATTTCTTAAATGAAGCAAGGCTGCAGAACTGGGCTAAATCTTGCATGTCTTGCTGGCAAGTTCAGCGCTACGTTCAACCAGTGAGAGCAGACCTTATAGCATTTGGTTTGTTCTATTGTTCTTCTGGGTATTTTTAAGCTGTCAGTAGATCATTCCTGTCAGTCTCTGTTCATTCAGAAAAAGTCCAAGTGCCAAACACACTCTGAAAACGTATCAGCTGAACAACTTCTAGTCTTCATACATTTCTGAGTCAAATGTAAAAATAATTTTAAAAGAGCCCTGTATTTTTTAGTTCTACTCACATGTGTTTCAGTGGCAATAGAATTAAACCAAAGAGCTTAAGGGTACTATTTTCAAAAGGCAAACAAAACAGACTGCGCAATCATAAACCAAGAAGTGAAACAAACGTTGTCTCTGACATTCAGTTTCTCAGAGGAAAGTTAATTCAGGAAGACTACAATCAAAAAGTTATAGCTTAATAAAAGACAACACATAAAATGTGAACAAGTTCACACTGGAAAGGGGATTTTAATGGCAATCCTCTCAACTTATGCATTTAAAGACTCAGTCTTAATTCCTTTATGCAGTTTGATTTCTGTATTTAAAAAAGGAATGAAAGAAGAGAAATAGCAGACACTTATTGGAAAAAACAGGACAACGCAATACACTCTACACAGAATATTCCACACCACAGGCAGCATGGTAACAAAAACCACTTGCCTAGCTCTGTTTAGTTCCTTTCCAAGTCTGCATAGAGCCACTTCTATGCAAAACAGCATCTGTCAGCAGAGGCTGTGGTTTCACAGCGCAACACAAGTTTTTTTGCCAGCAGAGGCCATTTTACAAGACAGCAAAACTCTAAGCGGGTTTGGGGAGACAAGAAAAACCCCACAAATATTATCACTTAGTTCCCTAACTTGATACCGATCACCCTTTCTATTAACAAACATCTAATAAACCGTAACGAGGTCCTCAATTAAAGATGCCTTTCACTTTGTCCATGTAATCACATTTTCTATCACAAGGTGGTTCCCCCCCCCATATTGCAAGAAAGTGGGACACACCATGAATACTGAAAAAATGTACACTTCTAATATTATTTAGCTCAGCATCTTCTCCAGGTCTAACCATAAAAGGACTTTTTTCCATGGATCCACCCTTTCAAGGGCCATGACATCCATCCTCTGAGCTGCACGGCGAGGAGCCCACTCTTTTCATTACTTCCTTTTCATATCCTGAGTAAATAACATAGCCTCAAACATCAGCAAATTCATGCAGTAATATATACACACACACACAAACCATCTCCAAGCAGGCCATAACAGGAACTTTACCTGCTAATTCAGATTTGTTTTAAAGTAGGATAAGAACAGCCTTATGATGTCAGTCCAGAAGCGCAGCTAAACACAGCTACTACTGGATGCTTGGTAAACACTAAAAGGACAAAGAAAGTAAATGCTCCCTTTTGCAAGTTTAGCCTTCCAGCTACCAGCAATCTTAAAGACTCAAAACCAGAACTTATAGAAATATATACTATATATATGTGTGTGTATGTTTAATTGTGTTTAACCTATGAGTCTTCCTTTACTTGAATGGATTTTTGAGCTTCATTATACTGTTGGCATCCATAGAAGCCGATGAGAAGTTTTACAGCTCAGTTGAACATAAGGGGTCTGTACATACCAGGAAGCCAGAGGTCTGTGGAGAAACCCTTTCTCCTCTACAACACACAGAACAAACAACAGATTTTTCCTCCCTTCTACAACTTTTTCCCCTGGGCAAACAAACACTGCAGATAAACCACTTGTAGAATATATATTCTAGATTGAGGTCTTTGGCACATATCACACTTTAAGCACGCACTAATGCCAAGGCAGTGTCTTTCTACCCCAGCCAATACACACACGCACACACACGCACACACACGCACACACACGCACACACACGCACACACACAAAAGAGAAAGTGAAATAGATACAGGCTGTAAAAAACATCCTTCACTGAGGCTTTCCAAAACAAGCTTTAAATTCTGAGCAAGGAGAGTAGCTTTCTCCTCAGAGGGATATAAGGCCACAAGAAATTGAAAGAGTTTTGAAGAAACACTCATTTCAAACATAGCAGTGCTACAAAAGGTGACAGCAATTACAGAAGCACACTAAAAACTGCAAGCACTTGAACACATCCTAGAGACAGGAAGCCACAGCCTTTATCTGTAGCAGTCATCTCAGAGATCTTTTGATTGCTTTCCCCTGCACAGTTTCTTCACACAATTATAAGAACTCCGACTTCAACCATTTACAACTTTTTACAGGGGAGTTGTCCTGCAACGCAGCTACAACCCAACCAAATCATCATTCAGCAGTTATAAACAATTGGCTTATTCAATTTAAATAACCAATACAATTAATGTATTAAAAAAAAAAAATCTAATGTTTTCCTTTATATTCTAGTAAGTGCCAAAACCAATTTCATCTACAAAACTGTCACAACGATGCTAGGCCTTTACAACAAAAGTATTCCAAACACACTCGTACATAAATAGAAAGGTAAAAGGTGTTATACAGCAGTCAGTGAATTAAAAAGCCAAATCTTGTACTGGTCTAAATGAAAATAAACTTGATGCTTCCCTGAAACAGATCAATTGCAGACTTGCAAACCAAGTTCTTATGTTTCTGGTGACTGCATGAACTTTTGAGCAGAGGGTGCCAATTTTTGTTTCGCAATTTAAGAGCAGCAGTTGGCTAGTCTCAACAACAAATTTTTGCCTCTGTTTTTGAAAGCAATACTTAAGAAACGCAGGTTCAAAGCACAGAGAGCCAGCTGGTCACACCTCCAACAGATCTGTTTCAATTCACAAACACTAAGAACCTGACCCAGAGAGTCAACACTTCAGCCAGCAAGTTAGAAATACCTTGGCCACAAATCTGTCACCGAGTCTTACATGAAAAGTCCGCTTACATTTTCATAGTCCTTCATGGTCCGAGCTCTAGTTGGCGAGACTGTATCTTCTGCCACATCTGGTAACACTAGACATTTAAGAAGACAGAACAAGTTCAGACAGCAAAATCTCTAAGCTAGGCATCAATTTGGAAACAGCAAAGGCCTATGCTAATCTAAACACAATAAAAGTACAACACCTTTTGGGAAGCAAGGGAGGCATATTTTTGCCCCTTGGTCACATTACATGTTAGTGCTACTGAGTAGTTAGTATCTAGATTTCTTCCTGATCACAGTAAGTTGTCTATCACTTAAGCTCCCGAATTCCAGCATCACCCATTTAAACCAAGATGTAAGCTGAAATTAGGCTATGTGAGGTGCACTTTCAAGAATAAGTCCTCAGAGCAACTACAAAGGACTCCCATATTAGAATTAAGTCCTATTAAACTATTAGAAAACAGTTCAAATCTTCCAGTATCTTACTGGTCACAGGACAGGCCTCCACCTTAGCCTCAGGGAAACCACGGGCAGAGGAAATGGCCAGTATCTATGTTGCTAAAGTGCAATCCCTCCTGAATATGCATGCACTTAAACTTCTGATTGCACACACAGTCTGTAACAGCCACAGTTAACAGGACTGTGTGACTTAATTCTGTTCAAATCTGCAAGAGCAAACTTTTAATCAGAAGAATGAGACTGTATAAAACATGTAGCACTTACATCATCTTAAATGGAAAGAATAGGTAGCTGAGGACTCAGACTCACTCTCATGCTAACTAGAAGAAAATATTTCTTTTAAAGTACTTCCAAAATTGTTATGCAACTATGTAGAGCTGTCTTTAAAATCCTGACAGTCTAACTAATTTCACAAGACAGCTTTCCTAGAGAACACGAAGAATACAGTAACGTTATTTTGCAGCACTGGTATGTTTCTTATATTTATTTCCTTTCATGAGCAAATAGATCTTCCTGGTAAACCACATAATTTGTCTTAGTTTCAGTTACCTACTTCATGGATACAACAAAGTCAGCCAAGTTACCTTGCTGGATACAAGCACGCATAAAGAGAAATCAAACACATACACCTCAAATTTACAGAGCAGAACACAGAACAGTTAACACAGACAGAAAGTTTCAAAATAATACCATTCAGCCATTTTACTTTAAAATAAGCGTTTCAAACAAGAAAAACGTACTGGATTACAGCTTCTGTTCATCAGGAACTAGACAGCGAAGCTTCTTAATGCATGAATAGGTGAAAGATATAGAGTGCCTACACCGGGTCTCCAGGCAGGCAGTGACTTAACGGCGCGCAGCAAGCGCCTTCCCTAAAACTGAGCAGGAGATGAAACAGCAGCGTTGCCTTGCTGGGTGTTCCAAGTATTTTAAATACACGCTCCACAAAACCGCTGATCAGCTTATAGAGGGCTCAGAGCCACAACGACCACAGGCAGCAGAGCGGACAGCAGCAATTGCAGCAGTCGCGGGCGTTTTATAGTCTTAAAGAGACACAACTTACAAAAAGCTGCGTGGCTTAAGGACGTTTTTTGCCTTTGTTATTTTTGCTTTTTTCCCCCCTCAGACACGAGGCTTCGAGACCCGCACGAAGCGCCGAGCCCCCGGCAG